TCATTAGCTCAGATTAGTTCTCCAGATTATCTGGCCAAACACTTAGGACTCTGGAGAAGCGGGACAAGAAGAAAACTGCAACCAAGCTGTGTTATTTGAGGACATTGCTCCATTTGGAAATGCCTAAGTCCCAGCTAGGAGCTCCTCTCCTTCTCCTTGTTTCTTATGAGCTGATGAAAAAAACAACCAGCCTGAGGATTCTGGAGAGTTTGTCATTGCTCTATTGTTTTGGAGCAAGGGAAACTTTGCATCTTCAACCTGGGGGGTAGAGAGGGTGTGTGTGTGTGTGTGTGTGTGTGTGTGTGTGTGTGTGTGTGTGTGTGTGTGTGTGTGTGTTGTGTGTGTGTGTGCGCGCGCGCGCGCACTGAATCAGTAGAGAGGGGAGAAAGCAGAAGGATTTCAGCTTCTTCTGTCATTGGTTGGCTGAGCAACATGCCAGCCAGTCATGAGACAACTGATTACAACGGTTGTCTAGGGTCCTAAAGCTGACAAACAGTTCAGCTGGCCAGTAACATTGGTGGAGAAAAGGGAGAGAGTGGAGTCTTCCCTCATGTCTCTGTGCTCCATTAGTACAAAATTTTTGCATATCATCCTGGAGGATCAACATTTTCAGAAACCTGTCTGGTGTATACTTTACTCTCTCTTGCCTATTACAAAATTTCTACATATAGCTCTGAACAAGAGACAACAGAGTTGTGATGAATGCATTCAGGGTAAACAGAGAAAGACCTGGAATACAGGGTATTGCTTAGAAAGTAACAGTGGAATAGAATTCCAGAGTCAAGATGCTGAGTGGTCAGCCTGATGTTAAGGAACAAGAGGAGAGGATATGGTAAGAATGATGGAGGAAGCCAAAAAAAGGTGCTTCCTCTGCTTCCTAATTTGTCCTTGCTTGAATTCCTTTTCCCTGGTATTTATACATCATCAATGTATATTTATATACAACTCATTTATTATTATCTCTCGCATTTGAATTATTTCTTTTCCTCTTTTTATCTTCCCCTTCCTTTCACTTCTTGTCTCCTCTCCTCTCTTTTCCCATCTTCTTTCTTTTTTTTAATTAAAAAAAAATTAAGGCAACTGGGGTTAAATGACTTGCCCAAGGTCTGTGTGACCTTGTCAAGTGTTTGGTCTGAGGCTGGATTTGAACTCAGGTCCTCCTGACTTCAGGACCAGTGCTCTATCCACTGTGCCACCTAGCTGCCCCCTCCCATCTTCTTTTTTCACCTCTCCTCCTCTCCCCTCCCTCCTTTTCTCTTCTCTCCTCTTGTCTCCTTTTTCTTTTTGCATTTTCTTTTCTCATCTGAGATAGGAGTAAAATTCAGAATTCTCCCTTCCTCCATGTCCAACACCCCTAATCACTCATAAACTTGAGAACATGCATTTGTGACACTCTTTCCAAGAAATGTTAATTTACTTCATCCCCATCCTTATTCCTCTTTCTCTCTAAGCTTTTATGGAATCTGATATTCCATTCATTGGCAACACATTTGTATTGTCTTGCTTTATTTTTTTTTTGTCCCTTGTTCAAGGCAGGGTATCTAGAAGACAAAAATCTTGCTCTCTCTTCTCTAATTCTTCTTTTAGTGAGATTGAATATCTGAGCCACTCCCTCCTTCATGTATTTTTTTTGAAACATGTAAGATATATTCTTGGACTGTATTTCCCAGAAGACTTAGGGCCAAGAAAATCTCATTCATTGGGGGAAATTATCTGGACTATATAACTCAGAAGAGTGTGTGAGTTTGTATCATGGCAATGTCACCTTCTATTGGATGAGGAAGTTCCCAGCATAGGAAGTTTGAAAAATTGCTGAGGGGAATGTCACAAAGGGCAGAGGCTTGAATGGTCTTGCAGCTGAGTGACTGGAAGATGGAATGATAGCAGAGATGGAAACGGAAGCTATATGTAGAGAACATAGGGCAATTATCTCCTTCTGTAACTCTCCTTTTGTTAACTGTTGAATGACCTACAAGTGTCTCATTTAATTTTACCATCAAACTTAAACAAACAGGGGACTGAACTGAATTAGGAACAGGTCAGAACACCACCCTTTTGCTCAAAGTTGAGCTTTTTAAGTTCACTAGCCTCAGTTGTACAGGATAGGTTGCTTAGATCACAACCCAATATTCTTTGTCTCTCAGAATATCCTGTTTTGATGTCTTCTCTTATTTCTTTTAAACAAGAAGTAGTCTTGAACTATTAAAATGCCTTTCCTTGATAAAATTTATTTTGGCTTCTTGCAATTTTTGTTGTTTATTGCTTTCATTCAGAAGTTTAATCACTGCATTTCTTAGTGAATGAAATTTAAGCTTTCCTCTTTGGATTCTACTCATATTTATATTATCTTTTGTTTGCAATATTTCTGAGCAGTATTCTTATATTATTGTCTAAAGTATGATATTCAGTGTTTTTTAGTCATGTTAGTGTAGGAGATCTAAGATCCTTAAATTTTCTCTGTGAACTCTCTTTAAGGTCAACTGCTTTGGCTTACATAGAACTTACATCTTTTTCCAATATTGTTTTTGAGTGTGTCCTGACAAATTTTCTATTTTCTTCTGGCTCTGTGTTTTTGAGTTCCAAATTTGTTGACATTCTCTTTTTAAAAACTATAAGAACTGTTTGGAAAGAGTCTACTTAGTGTACTACATGGTGTGTGTGGGGGGTATATCCTTTAATATATACTATTTGTTCATTGTGGCATGTCCTTTTCTAAATTTTCTAATTTTTAAAAATTGTATGTGGCTGTAGTTTCTCTGATTAGGGACTATGTTTATACCCAAACTTTATCTTTCAGTCTCCTTCCATTCTGCCCTTTACCTTCTGTTCCAGATAGCGTCATGTTGGGTGCCATTCAACTGGTCCCCTTCTCTATCCACCGCCTCCCATTTGTTCTGTTCAGACTAATAGGACTGGTTAACTTTAATGACCTCTTTTTATTAAGGTTGGGATCCAGTTGGTGCCATATGATATGGAATTCCTTGGCAGAGGGGTGACCAAAACTAGGTTTATATTCATTCTCTTTCCTTAAAGAGAAAATCCCTTCTTAGTACAGAATTCCCTTCCCCTCTAGATTACATAGCATTATAACCAACTCAGTACTGCTGGGCTTCTCACCATCCATAGTTACCCATTTTTTCTATCATGGGAACTTGATGAATTCAATACTCCCTCTCTATTAAAGGATATGGATAGGGATCATACTGGATCACTTCTATAAGGGAACCTCAAAGAGACAGGAAAATAGCTCCACAACTCAAAATGACCTTTTGAGATGGTCATTTTGGGAATAGGATATTCTAAGAATTGTGGGGAAATAGGTAAACAATGCCATCTTCTCTTTGTAGTTCATTGTTTTATATTGTTTTTAGTAGGAATGACTTCACAGAAAACTGTTCCCTTTCTTCCCTTCTCCTTATAATTTTTCCTGATTCCTCAATATAATTTTTACTGATTTTCGTCTTATTTTGAGATAGTGAGGGTCAGTGTGAGGCCCAGATGTAACCTTTCGCTTTGCCATCTTGGTGGAAATCTATCACTTTCACTTATAGTAGTACAACACCATGTTGCTGAGGCTGCTTTGGCTGGTCCTACAAGCAGAAAACAAATAAGTAGTTAGCTGAAAATAAGCATGATTTGAAGAGTGTAGATATGGCTCACGGCCTCAGTTTCCTCATCTGTAAAAAGGAGATAAAAATATTGGCTTCCACAGGATTATTGTGAGGATTAAGTCAGCTACTATATATAAAGTGACTGTAAGCCTGAAGTATTATATAAATTCCAGTTATTTATGATGGTAAGGATGACATCTTCCTCGTAAGCCTAAAATTCCACATCCTAAAGACTGTTTTTCCTTGGGATCTCAAAGCCTCTTCAGGACCCTCTGGGGAGTCATAGAATGTTAGTCCCCAAGAATACTTTAGAGATCATCTGTTTAGTGCCATTTATTTAATCAATCAACAAGCATTGATTAAGCACTAGCTGTGTGCCAGGTAGGGTGCTAATGCACGAAATATAAGGAAAGGCAAAAGATACTCCCTGGTCTCAAGGAGCTAAAAAACAAAAAACCCACCAAAACAAATGGGGTCATGAAGAATTGGAGACAACTGAAACAACAGAACAATCTAAAAATAAGGATCAGAAAAAAGGTTTGAACTCGGCATTTCAGTAACATAGACTTAGAACCTGCAGATTCCTTAGAGGTCATCTAGTTCAAAGTCCCCATTTCGCAGATCAATAAACTTAGCTCCGGAGAGATAAATAAATTGTCTAAGCTCATATAATCAATCAACAAGTATTTATTAGGCCTTACTAGGTACTGGAAATACAAAGAAAGTTTTTAAAAAGTCCCTCCCCTCAGGGAGCTCAGGGGAGAGAAGATGCCCATATGCTTTGTATGTGCAAAGTATATGTAGTATGCTGTTGCTCAGTTGTTTTTCAGTCACGTCTTACTCTTTATGGCCTCGTTTGCAGTTTTTTGGCAGAAATACTGAAGAGGCTTGCCATTTCCTTCTCCAGCTCATTTTATAGATGAGGAACTGAGGCAAACAGGCTTAAATGACTTGCCCAGAGTCACAGAGCTAGCAAGTGTCTGAGGTTGAATTTGAACTCAGGTCTTCCTGACTCCAGGCCAGGTGCTCTATCCACTGTGCCACTTAGCTGCCCCCAGAGGGAAAGCACTGAATTAGGGAGTGAGAAGGGGGAGGGGAAAAAGAGGAAAGACAGTTGGTCTCCGAACCCAGGTCCCCTAACTCCAAATCCACCACTGTTGTCATTGTGTTATTAGCACCATTAGTCATACACCTTCCTGTCTCACAGGTATGGTGAGAAAATAAATGCAGTAATTTAAAACCACTTTGAAAACCGTCTATAGGAGATATTACACAAACATTAAGCACCAGATGATGAATGTTATTGTCATACATTCCTCCCTTAGGCCATGTACGATAATCGAGTTCTAAAACCCTCCAATTTTTTGCCCTCTTCCTCCTTTTCATCAGAGAGAAGTCCTAATCATGGTGATATAATTGCCAGCCAACTACAGGATCTCTGTTTGGGGCTTGCTGTGTGAGTGAGAACTAGTAAGTACATATGTGAAGATGTGCCTCTACAGTCTCTTTTCCCCTTAGATCTAGTAAAGGTGTATATATTTATTCCAAGAAACTACTAGAACTTCTATCCCATTTCCTGTATGTGCTTTTGTCTGTTCGTAGTAACGTGCTCATTTCTCCCTCTTTCTCTAATAGCCTTCTCCACTTGACACATTTAAAGTTAATGAGGAATTTGTGCACATCTAACTACCTAGTTAGGGCAATATGCCTATTTTTTTTTCTCTTCCCAGTCCAACGGATCTTGAAGGTAAAATGCTCAGAAAAAAGGAAAACATTTTGTCTCTCCTTTTTAATGTCTTTTGGCAGCATCTGAACACAGCCAACATGCAAAAATCAGACATATTATTGCTAAGTAGTTAGTATAAGCCAGCCAAGGCACACAAACGAGAAAATGTGGTATGAAGGGGGGAGACAAGCTCAGGTAATGAAAGGGTCCCCTGAGATGTGGTAGCTGGTTTTGTTTAGTGAGTATTAAAATAAATATCAGTGTGCAATTGGTTTCTATGGTCAAACATCTCCCCTGAGTAAGTCATTTGAAGTTGTCTCCCCAAAATGTGGTCTTTTTTTTTTAATTTTCCAGGAAGTGCATTGGATAGAGCACCAGCCCTGGAGTCAGGAGGACCTGAGTTCAAATCCAGCCTCAGACACTTGACACTTACTAGCTGTGTGACCCTTATCTCCAATTGCCTCACTTCCCACTCACAAATTTTTTTTCAAGAGATTCCTCTCTCAGTCCTATAAAATTTGAACTGTAATTCTTCCTAGTACAGTCCATAGCATTAAATGTGAATGTTAGGCAGTTAGCTAAACTCTCTGTGAAAGTCATGGGGATCAGAATTTATTATTTCCTAATCCCATTTTGTTGTTCTGTCATTATGCCTTTTTAAAAAAGTGTACTTTGACTTGTAATGTCACCGAAACCTTTAATTTGAGGCCTAACGACTAGTGTACACGAGCTGTGACCTTTCTGTAAAAAGAAAGCCTTTGGGGGGCAATAGTTGCTCTATACCATGTAGTTCTGAACCTGCGGACTTAATTCTTTGTGGTAGCTGTTGTACAATCATTTCCAAATCTTCACGACCCCTTTGGGGTTTTCTTGACAAAGATACTGGAGCAGTTTGCCACTTCCTTCTCCAGATCATTTTACAGATGAGGAAACTGAGGCAAACCAGGGTTAAGTGACTTGGCCCAGGGTCACACAGCTAATGTCTGAGACCAGATTTAAACTCAGGAAGAGTCAGACTCCAGGCCTGGCACACCATCCACTGTGCCACCTAACTGCTCCTTAAAGAACATTAATTAGGGAATTAATGCAAGGCTGAATGTAAACTCCTTGAGGACAGGGGTCTCTAACTCAAGTTTATATCTATAAGCCCAGTTCCTGGCACATAGTAGGTCATGATATTATAGTGTCATAGCTTTAATGCTAAGACACCCTTGCAATATTGGAATCCAACTCCCTTTTTACAGATGAAGAAACTGAGTCTGAGGCTGAGTCAGGTTAAATGACTTACATTGTAAATATCTCAGGTAAAATTCAAGCCTAGGTCTGTCTGATCCCACACCCAGTGTTCTGTCTACTACACTACCCTGCCTCTCATTTATCAAAGTGCTTGATAAATGTTGATTGTTTGATTTATTGACTGATTAGATGTTGTGGGATAAGAAGTGAGAATGGAGAAAATGTCAAATACATGGTTCTTCGCTTATAGAGTCTGAAGTAATAGGCAGACAAGGGGACCCTAGCTACGTCTATATAATACTCAACTTCCAGGTGGTTTGGACTCTACCAGATTATAAAACTCCTGCCACTCTCCCTACAAACCATATAGAGACTATATCTTATTCATCTTCGTATCCCTCTGAGGACCTAGCTCAATTTGTTACACCTAGAAAGCACTTAATACACATTTATTGAATGAATGAACGAATAAATGACATGAACTTCATTTGTTAAATTCATTATGTGGATATTTTGGTGTCATATAGACATAGTCAAAGTGAAACATTTAATATTGTACACATACATGTTCTGTTCTAAGCACCACTACACACTTTGGATGAACATACACACACAGAGGGTGTTTAGACAAGCATAGCACACAGAAATAGAATGTATGTGTGTATGTGTGTGTGTGTGTGTGTGTGTGTGTGTGTGTGTGTGTGTGTGTGTAGGGAGTCTTCTGATAACATAAAGCACTCTATTCTATAGGCTTACAACAGTTTACAATGGAGAATTAGGATCATTATTTATATTTGTTACCAAGGTCATATGCAGGAATTTTGAATTACTAAGATGCCAGGAAGAGTTATTCTAAGGCTCACACAAAGCAGGATAATTGAGGAAAGGGGAAATATTCAAGCTGCGTCCTGAACACAGCTCCATGTCCTGGACATTTCTCCAACTGGGGCAATATCTTTGTTTGTCTCCTTGTTATGATGGCCCCATGAACACTTATTCTAGTTTTTTCGGTCTTTATTGTCTGGTTTTTAGAAACTGCCTGCTCTCAGTTTGGAACTACAAACAAAGGTCTATAAAACTGTGCATACCCTTGGACTCAGCAACACCACTGGTAAGTCTGTATCCTGAAGACATAAAAGAAAAGGAACAAAAGGAATCATTTGTACAAAAATATTTAGAGTAGCTCTATTTGTGTGGGCAAAAAATTAGAAATTGAGAGGATGCCCATGAATAGGGAAATGGCTGAACAAGTTGTGGTATATAATTGTGATGGACTATTATTGTGCTATAAGAAATGACAAGAAGGATGGTTTGAGAAAAACCTGGGAGCTCTATATGAACTGATGCAAAGTGAAGTAAGCAGAACCAGATCATTGTACACTGTTACAGAAATACTGTAAGGATGATCAACTGTGAAAGATTTTGCTCCTCTGATCAATACAATGATCCAAAGACTCATAATGAAAAATGCTATCCATCTCTAGAAAAGGAGAGAACTAGTGAATTCTGAGTGCAGATTGAAGTATACTTTTTTCACTTTCTTTATTTTCTTGAGGGTTTTGCATGTGTTTTCTTTTGCAATATGGCTAATATGGAAATATGTTTTGTATGACTTCATATGTATAATTAATATTATATTTCTTGCCTTCTCAAAGGGTCAGGGAGGGGTAAGAGGGAGAGAATTTGGAACACAAAACTTAAAAAATGTTCAAAATTTTAAAAAATGTAATTGGGAAATATTTAATGAAATAAATTTTTTTTAAAAAAGAAAGAAACTGCCTGTTCTCTGCGGATGCCATTTTAAGAAGGAATGGCCTTAACCAGGGCTAGTCAGCCTTCACAAGGCAGGTCAGATCAGTTTCTCAATCTGCCAGGCACATTAGGTAGAATTTTCAGAAGTAATTGGTTATTTCTGGTCCATTGTTCATGTCTGTTCCTAACCTCCTCCATTCCAAAGTGCCTGAAATGCAGTAAGAACTGGGAGAAATGCCTAACTTCCCCCTGAGTTAAGCTAACCTTTAGTTCATCTTTTAAAAGCTGCTAAGCCCTGTGACCTTATTGCAGGGGCACAGTAACAGAACAAGATCTCTCAAGGACAGGGAGAGGGAAAGCTGTAGATCAAGGGATAGGGTCAAGTATACAAGAGAGAGAAATGAATTAAGAAGATTTCTACAGATCAAAGAAAATGGAGCTTAATGGTGAAGCCAAGGACATGAATCATTTAAATCCTTGGCATCTCCCTCCAAAAAAATTAAAAAAAAAATAAAAAAAACTCTCCCCATGGAAAAGGAGAGCCTGCCTTCCTTGCCAGAAAGTTAATTGTGTAACTAGTTAAAAACCACATTTTAAAAAAATGTTGCTTCTCCAAGAAAAAGACTTCTATCTCCAGCTGCATTTTGTCAGTGGATGAAGATGATGTCAGATTACAGGGAGGGCCTAAGCATCCCGGATTGAGAGAGAATGCAGAAGTGGAATAACAACTAAAACTTGCTTGACCTTGGCAGAGTGGAAAAAGTATTCTTCCTGATAGAAGTTACCCACCTCAAGCTAAGTGATAGGGATTTGCTAAGATGTCTTCTTTGGCAAACAGAATAAAAATAATTCTCTCCAACCTGTCTCTGGGCACCCCAAGACTCGTTAGAATAACCATCTAATCATTCCTCATGATGGAGGATGGGTCAGTTATTATTACGGACCTCATGCCCCTTGTCCTGTCACTAGGCATGTGTTAAATGTGTTAAACTGCTGTCTGGAGGCAGCTCAGGGGGACTAGCACCTCTGATGTGAGGACTTACTGAGCCCTTTTCAGGGCTGCTCATCCACCTTTGGCGTCCACCTGATTCACTCACCTCTCACCTGTGGCTCTAAGAAGCTGTAGTATGCACCACAGCCACATGCTGGTAAAGCATCTCAGCAGACAGGCTAAACCAGGTTGAGGGTAACCAACAGACCTTAAACCCATCATTGAGTTAGGGGGATGTCTACCCCCAAAATGTGAAGACTTTTCCCAGTGGAATGGGCAGATGAGAACAGTTTGTTCCGACAGCCATGGAATGGCTGATGCAGACACTTCAGAGTGCTTAGAGCTTGGTCAGGCATCAAAGATGCCAAGGTCATCCAAGGCATCCCGGGCCATTACCATTTGTCTTGACTTTTGTCCTGCCACTGGACTTCGATGACTCTGGAAGACAGAGTGAGTCTGATGACTGTGCAGCTTTGCCTCACTTAAATCCAATCCACGCACAAATCAAGACACCACCCATGTTATCATTGATCCTCCTCAAAAATGAAGGACAAACGGCAACTGTCTCTCTGGGGAAAAAAAAAGTATGCTCTGTAATCTGTAATATTAACACATTCTTAAGCCTGAACAGTCAACAAAACAATAAATGAAGTCCTGATTTGTGGTGTTTAATAACATCCGAAGTGCAAATGCTCACACAAAACAATTAACAATAGGTTCTCCCCAAGCCTGTTCCAGTAGATCGAGCGTGCTCCTGCTTGTCACCATGGAGTTCTATTGCCGTCACTGTTTTCTACAGCTTTCAGTCTCTCCACCCCACTATGGTCTATTTTTTATCCTTTTGAAGTCCTGATGCTGTAATTAATCACTTAAAATTTATATTGACCTCAAACCCTACGTGCCCAGATTGCCTAGATTCCCCATCCTTCAAAAAACCCCAAACCTTTCCTCAATCCGACCATCTCCTCAAGCTAGAATCTTATCTCTCTCCTCCCTTTTATAGCCAGATACCTAGAGCAATCTATGTTCATTACCTCCTCTTCTTCATATCACATCACATTCACAACACCCTACTTCTGACCCAACTACTCCTTCTAAAGTCATTAATGCTCTCTTTACCGACAGATCCAAAGGCTTTTTCTCAGTACTTCTCCATACTTTCCCCTGGATACTCCCCGTATTCACCAGTCTGGTTTCTGAGCCCCAAGTGATGTGCTTGTATTTATATAACCAGTTATTCTCAATACAGCCACTTTTAGATTTTAAACATGACAATTTGCTTAACCATAAAAGTAAAAGAAATAATATCACAGGGACTGACATATTAAAACAAATTCACTAAAAATAAATTTCATCAAAATCCACACAGAGATCTAAGCTACTTTCTCCCACCAATATACTCAATATCTGTGGGGTATATAGAATGGGCACATACTTATAGAAACCTGCCAAGGAAGCACATGAGAATGATAACCCATGTGCTCAGGGTAGCTTACAACAATACAACTATAAACTTCAACATTCTCTTTTTGTCTCAGGAGCTATCCATAAAAGTTTCTTGATGAATTCTGAACTGAATAGATGTTTCCACTGCTAAACTTAGCTGATTCCACTCACTAAGGCAAGGTATCTCAGCCAAACTAGTTGATACAATGGGCAACATCTCATTTTTTGCTTCCAGGGAGTCAATAAGCATTTACTAAGTGTATATTATTTTCCAGGCCTCTGCTAAGCATTGTGAATGCAAAAGAAAAAAAAAAGCAAAAACAGTTCCCGCCCTCAAGAAGCTTACATTCTAATGGAAGAGACAACAAGCAAACAATTATTGATAGGGTAGATCTGAAAGAATCTCACAAAGAAGGCACCAGAATTAAGGAGAACCAGGAAAAACTTCTAGCAGAAGGTATAATTTTAGGTGATACTTGAAGGAAGCCAGGAAGCAGAGGTGAAGATGGAGAGAATTCCAGTTATGTGGAACAGCTGAAGAAAAGACAAGGAATTGGGAGAATGTCTCTAAATCGTAGAGTACATAGAGAAGAGTATGATATAAGAAGACCTAAAAGGTAAGAAGGGGTTAGGTTATAAAGGACTTTAAAAGCCAAATAGAGAACTTTATGTTTGAACTTAGAAGTAACAGGAGACTATTAGAGTTTCTTAAGGTTGATGGAGGCAGGGGGGAAGGGACCTACACGTATGTGGTCAGAGATATGAGGCTTTAGAAAGATCATTTTGATCCCTGATGGAGGATGAGCTGGAGTGAAGAGATATGGAAGTTATTGAACAAGAAAACTATTGAAATAGTGAATGAAATAAGAAGGCTTGCTTCTCAACAGCAACACTAGTTTTTGTCACCTCTAGATTTTAACTTGTTGATACAGATCTAAAATCTGCTCTTTCATCTCTCATATTTTTCTGAGTCAGACCTTGATCCTCTCTGCAAATGACCCACCTAAGAATATGATTAATAATCAAATTCTCATCTTCTTCCTGTAATCAAATAAAATAATTGTATTTTAATTAATTAATTAAATTATATTATTATATATTATATTATTATTATTTTATTTATTTATTTAATCAAATAAATGACATTTGTCCCTAAACCATACAACAGTTCTGGTTTCCATAATCCTTTTAGCATATAACAGCTTATCACATTCTGAACCCAACAGCAACTTACTTGAGTCAGAATTCTGAGTCAGAATCCACTTTTAGCAAATAACTCTCAGAGTAAATGTTTCTCTTAGAATCCTGGGTAGGCTTGAGTTAGCAACAAACCAACAAATAATACATTAAATATATATTATTGCACATCGGACAAATGCAGTTGGAGAACAGTCCGTTGAGAAAAATAGCCCAATTGCCAGGGTAATTTTGCCAAAATAGGTAGAAGTCTGTCTAGATCCAAAGAGTCTAGTCTTAGCACTACTAGGGTTGTGGGGGATAGCAGGTCCCAATAGAGGGGCAAGACAGGGACAGAACTCTGCACCATGGTAGCCCAGGAGTAGTTGTGCAAATGATAGTATCTATTGGCAGAGGCCTGTGAACTAAGATGAGGGAACAGCAATTTGGGGGAAATGGAAATGCAAATGGGACCCCTTAACTCCATGTTAGCACCCTTGAGGGGGAGCAATAGAGTTCTAGACCGGTAATAAAGAAGATCTGAGTTCAAATGAGGTCTCAGACACTTACTAGCTATGTACACAAGTCACAACCACCTTCTGCCTCAGCTTCTTCATTTGTGAAATGGGGATAATAATAGCATCTAACTCCCAGGGTTGTTGTGAATATTGAATGAGATAATATTTTAAAATTTCTTTACAAACCTTAAAGTAATATATAAATGCTAGTTATTGTGATTATTATTTGCCCTGCTTTAAAGTTTTGCTACTCCACTACCTATCACACCACCTGAAATTCAACCATTTTAGATACATACACACACCCACCATAAACTCTTTGACAGAAAGGACTCACTCATTTTTGTCTTTTGTCCCAGGACATAATAAGAATATCTGGTACATAGATGGGCTTCAAAACATGCTGATTGATTGAATGATTGAGATTAATTACTTTGATCTTAAAGGATTTTTTTGTTCCTGTGATTTCCCTATTAAAATTCAAATCTAATTGAGAAGGAAGGGTAATACATGAAGCCTCTTGTTTCTCAGTACAGTTGATAGTAGAATCCAAAGCCCTGAAGGAATAGGGCATTGGAGAGATAGAGGATGTCTGTGGGTAGGGATAGGGTGACTGGAGCGTCAGAAAGCTTAGCAGGGGTAAAGAAAGAGGAGGTGGGAGGGTACCAAAGACCAACAGCTCCTTTTGTTATTTTTGCCTCTGAGGTGGGGCCTGGTTGTGGAAGAGCAGGTACAAATTAAATAATGATCTAACACATTCTGACTTTCTTTCTGAGAGATCTCCGAGATGCCTCATGGATCCTACAGCTTTGTGGAACACAGTCTGAAAATCATTTTACAAAAGCACATAGCTCTTGGGAATTGTTTTTTCTTTTTAAAACAGGATTAACTCATATCATTGGGGCTAGGAAACCACTGGTTAAAAGCAGATGATAATGATTGTGAATGTCATTGAAACAGTGACGCTGGGTCCAATGGGCAAATGCAATGTTTCCTCATCTGTTCCTTTGATTACTGTTGAATAAAAATTTAAAGAACATGGCATCCCCTGGCTGAGGTGCTTGCCATGAGACCATCAAATCTGAGTAATGCTCACTTCAATTGATCATGTCTCAGGTGATTCTCTCTTCTTTTCTGACTTTGACATGCTGTGTTAAAACATCAGGGTCATGTAAATGGTTAGTTCAGACTGAATTTGTCTATGATCTCAGTCTCCAAAGAGATCTAAGAAAAGAATATGTGAAATTTCTAAGGGTACATTCATCCCATTAACTTCCAGACCAAATAAATCTTTTTTTTTTCTTAATGGATAATATGCTAGACTGAAAGCCAAGAAGATCCGAGTTCAAGTCCTTTCTCCAACACTATCAAGTCACTTAACTTCTGTCTACCTCAGTTTCCTCAACTGTAAAATGAGGGAAATAACCTGCTTCCCAGGACTGTAGTGAGGATTAAATAAGATAACGTTTGAAAATAGTTTGCAAACCTCAAAACCTCATATAAATACTGTTATTATTGTCATTGCTACCACTATTAGTCTGTGATTACTGTATTACTCCTATTATTACTACTTCTTATACTCGAGTATTCTACTGGATCAAGACTCTCATTGATGTGGATATTCTTTCCAATGATGATGATTGCAACCCAACCATGCCAGTTCCTCCTCTGAGTCTTGTGACCATGTCTTCCTATAAATTCACTATAGGGAGATCACCCAATATGCTAGGAGCTTTCTTCATCTTCTTGTGATGTCATAAGGATGCCAGTAGAACAAGTAAGCTGTCCATCAGTTAGCCCTAGCTTTCTCTATGTGACCAGCCCCACTCCTTATTTTCTTCTGAAATTTCTCTTGGATGACATCTTTTTACACCGTTTCTCATGGTGATGTGTTCCACCATGCTTATGCCCACCATGGGCTTCTCCATTGTCCTTTGGGTGATCCTCATATTCACTTCTTCAAAGACCATAGTGTTTCATGTCTTCACAATATCACCAGAATATCAGTACTGTAAAGATAGGCCTTTATTTCAAGGGGAAGATTAGGCTGATTAAAAGAATCTGATTTCCCAAATGTAATCTCAACCGTTCTCCTATCACTCTTTAATTCCAGACCCAGTTCATTGTTCATTTGCAATATCTGTCTCTGTCTCCCTCTCTCTCCATAATATTGTATTATATATTATATAACACATAATATTAGTTATTATACATTATTATATTACATATCATACTTTGTCTAATATCTTATACATATATATTAGATATTATCTCATATATCTTATATATAATATACATGTATATATATACCTATACATATATACACACATACACAAATACACACAATATACACATACATACCTATAGTATATGTGCATACATATATGTGTGTAATATAAACATATATGTATAAATACATATACACTTGCATACATAAAAATATAATACAGAGAATTATAGGTTGTTCATCCAAAGACATGTACATACAACTAACTACATCAGATAGCCTGGACCAGTATTTCTCAGAAGGGCACCTGAGAATCTCTGAGACCCCTTCAAGGGATCCCTGAGGCCAAAAATATTTTCATAACAATACTAAAATATTTCAATTCCTAATAGGATAAATGTCAATAGACATAGCACATAACAAACACAAACTCTTTGGGATCCAGAAACCAAAAGTTTAACAACTGCTTATGGGAGCTATAGGTATTCTTTCTTCACCTGCTTCTTCCTTTGTGGACAGCTGGGCCAAACCCTATCATGGATCTCCTGGCCCAATCATGGATCTCATTTAGGAGACTTTACAATGATTGTGGCTTGATGCAGTCAGCACCAGGAATTGTACAGCCAGGAACGTTTGGAATCCCTCTTCAACTTAACTCAGTCCTCAAAACTCCTCTATCCTTGCCATTACCAAGTGACAAGCATATTTCACAAGCATAATTTCTCTACTTGTTGCTGCAATTGAAATCAAAAATCACAATGTTGTTAAGTTTATCACTGTTGTTATCTCTTTTGAGGAATCACATGTAATTTCTATATGTTGGAGGAGAGCCTCTTAGGCAATGTTTTGCTCTGTCAAATTCCACATTTTATAATCAACAAACAGTAAGCATGATATATCGTATTCTCTCTCTCTCTCTCTCTCTCTCTCTCTCTCTCTCTCTCTCTCTCTCTCTCTCTCTCTCTCTCTCTCTCTCTCTCTATCTCTATCTATCTAAATATCTATCCATCTCTGTCTCTGTCTCTCTCTCCTCTCTCTTTCTCCTCTCTCTCTTTTTCTCTCTCTTTCTTCCCCCGATCTCTCTGTCTCTCTGTTTCTATCTATCTATCCATCTAAATATCTATCTATCCATCTCTGTCTCTCTCTTTCCTCTCTCTTTATCTCTCTCTCTTTGCTCTCTCTCTCTCTCTCTCTCTCTCTCTCTCTCTCTCTTTCTCAATACACAACTCATAAACACTATATATAGAAGGGGAAATAGGCATATAGTTCTGGTATTGTTGGTGTTCTTCTTTTGGTCTTTTTCTTTTTTTAAGCAATAAGATCCCTGGTTTTTTCCTGTGCCTTTGCTATTTCTCCTCCTTCAGATATCTTGAGAATCAGTCCCTCAGTGCCCTCAGAATTGTGTTGCCTCCAATACCACCCTCCTTTACATATACTTGTTTTAATTCAAATCCTTTTCCTGTTTTTCATGGTGGTCTTTTTGCACATGTTATGAGGATTGTAATATAAGATAACCAAGCTTCTCATGAAATAACGTTTCTTGATGTCTTTGGATACACAATAAAACCAGCTCCACTAAGCCTTTTATTTGCGTTTCTAAGGAAAACATATGAGTCATCTTTCCATTCATCTGCAGCTTCAATTTTTCTTTTACAGGAGAATTTTTGATTGATACAATTCAGTTTCTCCAATAATA